TGCTCTGTGCACCCATCCTCCTCACGTTCCCTAAGCCGGTGTTGCTATCCCCTTCCCAGCTGGCAGCCTGCAGATGTGAGAGCGGCTACTCAGGTGCCTTCTGCCAGGACCCCCCGGACCCCTGCTCCCAGGGATGCTTCCCTGGGGTGGGATGTGACCCTTTCAGTGGCTGTGGCCCCTGCCCAGCTGGCCTGACAGGGGATGGAGAGCATTGCTCAGGTGACAAGGGCTCACATCACGGCCACGGGGACCCCAGCTCCGGTGTTTGTCCCGGTGCCATGGTGCATTGCCTCAGCAGATATCGATGAGTGCACGCAGGGGACGGAGTGCCCCGGGAACAGCACCTGCACCAACACCGTGGGCAGCTACATCTGCTCCTGCCTGGCCAGTGAGCAGGGTGAGTATGGGGTCCCTGGCAGGCATGCTCCTCGTCCTCATCACCCCCAGGCTCTGTGGAAGAGAATTCCTGAGGGACCCAGGCTGGCTGGAGAGAAGGGAGAGCTGCTTGAGCTCTGTGCCCAAGCTCTTGCTGTCATTAGCAGAAGGGACCAGAGTCCAGCCACCACTCGTTTTCCCAGGCTGTTGATCTCACTAATCCGCTGGGAAGAGAAATTTTTCCCATGCAATTTTTCTCCTTGAGAAAAAAATTCTCATCCCAGCAAAGTTCAAATGCACATGCGGAAGTTGGGGGCTAAATCAAGCCCTGTTTTCAGATTGCTTTGGTGGGGTTGAGTTGATGGCTTTTGCTCTTGTTGTAATGCTGGGATTTAAGAAGGGCTAATGGCTCCAGCTGGAAGGAGGGGGAGTGGGGCTTTTCCTTGAATTTATACTAAAATTCCTAACACATGAAAGAAAAACAACACAAAACTTGGAAGGAAGGCCTTATGGAGCAGCTGAGGATGGTTCAGAGACTGGGGCTCTGCTCTGCAGCCAGGTTCATGTCTCAACCATGCTCACCATCCCACAGGTGAAAGGCCAGGCTGTGGCTCAGCCTGTGGCTACCACTCCTGCCCTGAGGGCTACTGCAGCAACGGGGGACACTGCCACCTTCACCCCATCACTTGTGCCCCCACCTGCACCTGTCCCCCAGCTTTCACCGACCAGCACTGCCTGGTGGCAGGGGGGGATTTTCAGCCGCTGCCCACCTCAGGTGGGTACCTGTGCCCAGCAGAGGGTGAAACCCAGCCCCACTCACCCTGGTCCTGGGATGCCAGAGCCACCACTGTGGCTTTCCCCCAGCAGGTCTCCCTCGGAGAAGCATCCAGATGAGAATCAAGACACTGCAAAACACCACTGCTGAGGAAGTCAACAGCACTGTATGTCACTGGAGAGGGTGGGCTCAGAGCAGGGGACACACTGGCATACTGGGCAGCATGGCAGCTGGGGGTGGGCATGCCTCTGTATGCCCTCCCATGGGATCTCTGGGGCTCCAGCAGATCCACAAGCCCAGAGGGAGGAAGCACCCCTTGCATAATGATGGCTGCAGCCGTGGCTCTGTGCCAAATCCCCGGCAAATGAGCCAAAGGCCAGAGCAACCCTTGGGGCTTGGCCTCAATGCCTGCATCACTCTTCAACCTTTCCCCACGCTGGTGTCATTCTGCCTTCCCCTAATGCCTTCCTGCTCCCCCCACAGGTCTCGGCCATCCTGGGCTCCCTGGAGGTAAAAGCTTTCCAGAGAAACACCAACATCACCCAGATGTGAGTCAGATGTGAAGCAGCCTGTGACCACTCCAAGGATCAGAAGGGGCAGGGCTGAGCATGGGGCCTTTGCTGCACAAAGGGCATTTTCCCCCAGCCCGATTTTCCAGCCCTGATGCTGGTAGCCCTTGGAGACACAAGCCTGTTGGCACCTTCCACCCCTGCCTCACCCCTTCCTTACCATTGCCCAAATGGGAATACTGAGGCACGGTGGGGCGCAGTCACCCTGAGAGGCAGCAGCAGCTCCACCAGCAGCCCTCTCTTTTCCCTGCAGGACAGACAGCGATGGCTTCACCTTCGTGGTGGTTTCCGAGTTTGCCTACGAGAGCCGTGGGACCATCATCCGCTTCCTGAACGAGGAGCTGCCCACAGCCATCACCAACGCCTTCAACGCGCGGCGCGGGCGGCGGGCGGCGGGCACGGGGCTGCGCTTCCAGCGCCTGCACCGGGACAACATCACTGACCTGGTGAAGCGTGAGTTGCTCCTGGCATTGAGCTGGGGAGTGTGGGAGGAGTTCCCCCCTGTCCCCATTGTCCCCATGACCCTGCATGCCCCAGGGGTTGGTTCACACCCATGGGGGAGGCGGGTGGGCAGCCTCCCAACCCCAGGCGTAGATCCAGCTTGGGGAGGCTTGGGGAAGCATCAAGAGGTGCTGCTGCAAGGCTGAACCCATGTGCTTTCCCTTCCCAGTGACAGTGGATGAGCTGAGGGACTATTTCCGCTGCACTCTGTACGGCTACAAAGGCTACCGGCTCCACTACGTGGGGATCATCGGCTTCGTCTGCATCTCCCCCTGCAAGATGGGCTACTGCCAGCACGGTGGCCAATGCCAGCACCTGCCCGAGGGGCCCATGTGCAGGTAGCAGCAGCCCTGGGGTGGACAAGGCCACCCTGCACAGCTGCTTCTCCCACAGCATCACAATTCCTCCCTCCCCATCCACAGCTGCCTGCCCTTCTCCATCTACTCTCCAGCTGGCCTCCAGTGTCAGTGGCTGGCCATCAGCCTGGCTGCCTTCCTCGGCATCCTGCTGGGAGCCCTGGCCCTGCTCTGCCTCCTTTTTGCCACGGCCTGCCTGGCCCTGCACCTCTGCCGCCAGCACCGCCGCCGGCACCAGGGGTGAGCCATGGGCTGCACCTGCACAGGGGTGGGTGTGGGCATGTGGCAGGCCGGGTGTCAGGGAGAAAACTGATCAAAAATCCACATTTGAAAGATCCACCACTGGTAGAACTCATCTGGTTTGGGCAGAGGGACCCTGGCCTGGGAGAAGGGTTGGGTGACCTTTTAATATCTTCCAGCTCCTTTTCCAGGTATCTGTTGCTCAGGGGTACAATAGCATCAGTGGGTTGAATGTTAGCTCTCCTTTTTCCCCCACGTTAGGGAGTGTTTACATTTCTTCCTCATCCCACCCAGTACTTGGTTACAGATGGGCTTTCTATTTAATTTTAATTTGCATACCACCCGGATAATTTCCACTTCAATTCACATGGGCCTGCAAAGAGCTGGCCTGGAGCAAGGAAAAGTGGTTTAAGAATTGGACCTTGCTCTTCTGCAGAGCAGGCAGTTAACAGAACAAAGGCAAAGTGCTAGGCTGGGGTGGAAGAACCAGCATCTCCTTCCCTCTATCCCCTGCCCTTGGTCCTGCAGTGGCATCCACACTCAGGGGATCTCCCAAGCCCCTGGCTCTGATCAGAGCTGTGTCCTGCCCCTGCTCCCAGCTCCCTGCCAGCCCTGGAGCCAGGGATCGCTGGGAAGTTCCTCTGTTCATTTGCATTTGTGGCAAGGCAAGAAATGATGTGTGCACAGCTGGGGCTTTTCCTCCTCTCACAGCCCCATCTCACCCCTGCAGTCAGTCACTGCTCCCCTTTGCCATCTGACCCAGACACCAGCATCAGGCAGGGGTTCTCCCAGCCTCAGCTCACATGTTCTCCCTGTTCTGTTCTCCCCTCTCAGAGCCAAGGAGACCTTGTGGAGGACACGGCCCTTCTCCTGTGAGTAGGTGCCTGTAAAACTCCCCCCACTAAGGCTCTGCTTCATCCCAGTCCTCAAGCTCTGCTCATCTTCCCTGCTCCAGCTTTAACAATGGCAGGAGAACAATCAGATCCCACCGTCTCCCACTCCCTGGAAAGGCATTGGAAACTGCAGCTCCAGGCCATTGACCCCTCAGCCCAGGTCTGTCCTCAGGTTACTGTTTCCATGGGTGTTGGGGTGGGCAACTTTGGGCTGAGCTCTGGATCCTGGCCCTGTGCCTCAAAGGAGCTCAGGAGCTGTGCTTCATCCTGAAGCATCACTGGTGCTTTGGCTGGCACTGGGACCCGCACCACTGTCACCAGAGCCAATGCCACACTGACAGCATGGCCTGCTCCTCCTTTACAGATAAGAATCCAGAGACCCCATGTTATGCCACCAAGCCAGGCCCCCCAGCAGCCCTAAGCTGCCACCAGTCCTTTTCTGGCACCTCCAGGCCCACAGAGGAGCCCGACACTGCTGCCAGCTCCACTGCTCACTCTCGAGGTCTCCAGCATTAGCAACACATGGAAGCAGGGGACAGGCAGCTGCCTTCTGGGTTCTGGGAGGATTCTGGAGGAGGTGATTTTTTGAATGTGTGTTTATGTTGGGTGACCAAAGCAGGAGGATTTCACCTTCCCCTGAGGACCTGCAGAGACACCTGGGATCATCCTGGAATGTTTCTGCACCAGGGGTACGTGCTAGTGCAATATAATCAGACCTTTCAGATCCCCTGAGAGCAGGGTCAGGTGGGGCAATGCAGTGATTGTAATCCCTTAGGAACCAAATAGAATAAACCAAAAATGTTGGCTTGCTGTTAAATTGTCTGCGCCTCAAGGGTTCCTGCGCCAGCCCTGCTTCACTGTCACTGAGCCCTCAAGTCCCTTCTTTCTCCCGGTCCATCCACAGAGCCAAAGTGAAAATAGATGTAAAATTTTTTGTGGCTTCATCCCCTCATTTTCCCTACACACCTGCAAGTCTCCTCACACTGCTTTCATGGACACTGCTTACAGTGGCTCAGATCATGCAGGTTGGGCTTTGGCCCCCACAAACATCCCACAGCCCTTCAACCCTGGTGACTGGGAGCTGCTGATCCAAGGAGGGTATATCAGACCCCATCAGACCCCCAACTCCCACCCCATTCACTGCCCTAGACCCTGGCTTAGCTGTATCTCCAGTACTAAAGCCAGGAACAGAAATATCCTGTAATCCTGCTGCTCCAAGCCTGCCCTGTCATTTCTTCCCACCCTAGTTTTGCTGCTGCAGGATCAGTGATGCTCAAATCCTTCCAAGGTCTTATTGAACAAACAAGATTTGACAATGATTTATTTTTTTTAAGAAAGGAAGATGCTCTCTTACACACACAAAAAAATTATTTTTCTTCCAGCATTTCTAATCATGGGGTTGCATTTTGCCCTCACACACCCAGCAGACATATTGATCTGATTCTGGCTTGATCTGGAGAATTGTCCCTTCTCCTGAGCACAGGGCCCAGGCACCACTCAGGGAGGGAGGGCTGGGAAACAGAAGTGGGGGACAAGACAGGACAGGCTCACAGGACAAGCCTGGTGCACCCTGGTATTTAAGGGCTTGGCCCCAGTCAACCCATGCGTGGTGTTTATCCCTTTCCCTGGTGCCAGGGGTCCAGCCTCACCCTGCAGCATGGAGCACAGTGGGAAGTGGGAAGGACAAGGGTGGTTTGTGTAGTAGGGGGTACCTGCCCACCTCCCCACCAGTTCTGCCCCCCAGCTGCATCTCGGAAAGGGCAACTAAAGCAACTGAATCCTTGGGACAAGTCTGGGTTAGAAATGTGAACTTGTGCCAGGGCAGGCAACTGCAGGCACTGGCCAGGTGAGCTGCCCTGCGTGGTGGGCAGGGGTGATGGGCTCTGTGGGGGGACATAGGGAAGAGCAGATCAAAGGGCTTGGAGAATCAGTCATGGCCCAGAATGTGCTGCGGGTGTGAAACCTCCCAGTTACTTGTCCTCTCCATCTGCAAAGAAGAAATGAGATTTGCTCAGTCACCTTCTCCCTGAGGAGCAAGCTAGGAGCCCTGGGGCATTTTCTTGCAGGGGCACAGGAATAGAGGGAAAGGAGACCCCACAATCCTGCTCACCTCTCTGCTCATCTGAGTCATTCTCTGCCTCCTCCGAGGAATCTGTTGAGGGTTGCAAGAAAGCCCCACATCAGCTTACACCATAATCACATTTGCTGTGGTCCTCTTCACCTCCTAGTGCCATTACCTCCAGACTATGCTGGTGGTAATGTGCTGAAGGAGATGCCTCCACACAGCTCCACACACCCCAGGGCATGGCACAACCTGCACATGAGCACCCCAAAATCCTTCCCCCATCTGCTCAGGGCTCTTGCTGCCTTAACCACAGGGAGGCTGGGACATTCCCACTCCCCTCCCAGCCCTGAGCACCAAGACAGCATCACCCCAGTGCACATGAGCTGCAGACCCACCCATGCTGGGTGACTGGTATCCATCACAGCCGATCTTGGGCCTCTTCTCACTGTAGCGGGCGCAGAGGTGGGCACTGCCTGCCCGATTACAGCACCAGTCATACAGCTTCAGCTCCTGGTCTGGGGGCAAAAAGGAGAGTAAGGGGCTGAAGGGAAGGGGAGGGAGATGGGCCAGCTCCAGGCGAGGCTTTCCTCGGCTTTTGGCAGCTCCACACTCCCTCCAAGGGAAACAGCATGTCAGGAAACAGATTGGCACAGAGATTAAAATTATTTACAGGCTACAACAATGCCAGCCTCAGCCAGGGGACGCCGAGGCTGGCTGTGCTTACCACGGTAGGGTGACGCCTGCCTGGAGGGCCTCCAGTATCTCTCCTGCCGCCCCTCGATCAGCTGGCTCTGGCTGTCGTACAGGCAGCGGACACCGGCGCCGTGCTGGTTGGGGGAGGCCGAGTGCAGCATGGAGACACGGGCACCCCACCTGCCTGAAATGGGCACCAGAGAGCCTCAGACAGCTCTGCCCCGCCAGCACTCCTGCCTCGGGGCAAGGACTGGGCCAGAGCTGTCTCCTGGTTGTCCAGCACTCCCACCACATCACCCACGGTGCCACAGGGGTTTGGCGGAACTGATGGAGATCATCCAAGTGGTCCCCCAGAGGGAAACCCTGGTCCCCAGCATCCCCGTGCAGGTCAGACCAATTCTGGCCAGTCTAATAAGACAAGAAAAGGTCAACCCTCAATCCTCCTCGCTTTTCCTGTCTCTGAAGAGTAGGTCAGTCCCCCTCTCCTTTTCCTTAGGGTCACCTGCCCACCCTGCCACATGGGACCCCAGCCACCCTTGCAGGGAAGGTGGGGAAGGACACCTTGGGGATGGGGAGGGTGAGGTAGTAACATGTCCACTTGCCTCCACGGCTGCTCTTGAAGCGTGGGTCCTGCTGCCCTTGCTGCAGGGAGCAGGGGCAGGTGGGCAGGCCCTGGCTCCATGCCCGGGGCTCCTGCTGCTGTCCCGTCCATGCCAGGCACTTCAGCCGGTAGTTGTTGCCCACACGGCTCTCCAGCTTGTAAATCCACAACCCACGGAGGTCTGAGCAGGGAGAGAAACCATGAGCTGACACCTTTGGCCAAGGGGACCACAGGAGCTGTTTTGTCTCAAGGGGAGAGTAATGTGGTGCTGATGCTGGAAGCTAAGCCCACTTTGACCTCCAGCCATAGGACCCTGTGTTCAACAGCCACTCAACAGAAGGGAAACAGGAGGAGAGGCTCTTGTCAAAGAAGAAAGCTTTGGGACAGAGCCACGGGTACAAAAAGTGACCATGGGCAGAGCAGGGATGTTCCAGCCTTAGGGCATAGCAGGTACCCAGGGGAAATGTTCTTGAGGGGAAAAGCTTGGCCTTGAGAACTCACTGAGAGCCTTGCCACAGTGGCAGGCTGGATTTCATTCCCTGAGAATATTCCCCTCCTTGTGAGCCCACCCCAGATGTGTGGCACTACCTGTGTTGTAGCCCCTGAACTGGTCAGGGCGATATTTAGCAGCTGGAGGTCTCTTAATCAGGTCATCATTATGGTAAAAGCCATCTCCACTGAGTGAAGAGAAAAGAGGGAAAATCAGGGGTTGCTCTTCCTGGGTGGGATTATCCCAGCCCCAGCTGGCCCTTCAGCCATCCTGACCCCGTGCCAGTGGAATTGCAGCACCCATGTGACAGCTCTTGGGACAGGAGGGCAAAGGCATGAGCTGCCCCAGCCTGCTTCCTCCTCTACATATGGTACCGTTCTTTTTGGGTGCTGCAAACACTCCTGCTGCATCAGGGCCTGAGCCCACAGGCATCTGGAGACCCCCACGAGCAGCTTCCATGGTTTCCAGTGTTTTTCCAGGTGATTTGGAGCAGAAACCCACAAGTGGTCCCACACACACACACACACACACACACGCACGTGCCGCCTACGCTTCCCATCCAGGCCACCTTTCCCTTACCCAGCTGCAGCAAGCAGCTAATGACAAAACCCTGGAGACAGCATGTACAGGGCAAGACGTAATGCGAGGAGGCAGGAAGCAACTGCTCCAGCCAAGCACGGAAATCCCTTCCCTCAGCTGGTGCAAAGTTCAGCAAACATCCCCTATTTCCCACTCCTTCCACCCAAACCGCCAGGATGCTGGGGGCCCAGGACTCCAGAGGGATTTGTGGATCTTACAACAAGCACAGCCTAGCAAGACAGCATGCTGCAGCATGATCCAGTCCCTAATGGGACAAATTTGTTTGTGAGGCCCCTATATGTTAGGGTATATGGGCATGCAGACCTCATCTGGGCTGTCCTCATCCCTCTAGGGCACTCCCTGGGACATGGGGGAAGGATTCAACCAATGGGAGCTGTGGGTGGGATGCATCCCAGTGCCCAAAGGAGGCAGGGATGGGGTGCTGAGCTGCTGTACCTGGTGTAGCCGATGAGCACATTGGTGGAAGTGAGCCTGGTGTAATCCCACTGCATGCCTCCATCCTGGTACAGCATCAGGATGTAGGACCTGAAGCCATCAGTGGTCAGAACAGCCTGGTACGTGATAGTCTGAGGAGAAGTGTTGCAGACAAGTAAGAAAGTGAATGAAGAAGTGGGGTTTAAAATTCAGAGTGTGGGGCAGTGCTTGTGGGGGAATGGCCAGACTGATGTCTGGAGGGAAACAAGGCAAACATAGCTAGGCCTGGTTCACATTTCACATGGAAAATGTGATGGTTTTATTTTGAAACTGTTCCATGACAAGTTTCAAATTCACCCAATTTTATGCCTCTGAAAAACAGCATGTCTGGTGAGCAATAAACTCCCACCACCTTAAAGAGAATGGTTTTATGGAATGGGGAAAGTTCAACTAAAGGTGTCCCTCAAAAACCTGAAAACCACCAAAACACGGGCACAGCCCAGTCCTTTTTGGCAAAATTCTTCAAGACTGGTCTTTGTCACAAAACTGGTTCTTACTTTCAGACACAGAGAAGGTCATTGCCTGCAGGTCTTGGTGTTTTTTGCCAATTCAACAGCGCCTGTGTTCCATCAGTCTCTTACCTTCTGGGTGTCAGTCCGTGCTGCATAGGCAGGTGCCTTCTCCCAGGTGATTTTCAGGGTCCAGGCTGCAGAGTAGGAGGACCTCAGGTACCGCCGGACCTTCGCTTCCACGTCACGGACAAAGGGAGGCTTGGCCGTGTTCAGGGTGGAGAACTCCTGTGGGTTGGGAACACCCACATCTGCGTTAGCTCCCAGTGGGACAAAACAGGTCTAGACTGGAGTCACACACAGACCCCTGTAACCAAAGTGCTGGATGGGGTTTGGATGGCTCAAGAGGTAACATAGCACCAACAGCTCTTAGATTTGGCTCAGAAAAGGGAAAAACCATTCATGGGCTCCATTAATCCACTTCTCAAGAGGCATCCCCAGAATAGATGATGAGTTTATAATCAACAGGTGTTTCGTGCAATAGTGCTCCCAAGTGGCTTCACTCACCTGGTAAAAGGTGGTGCCAACACCTCTGGAGAAGTCGGCGTTGTCCCAAAATACAGCGATCATGGGGACCTCTTCGTGGCCATTGAAGCCACGGGGAGGAGGGTTGGGGTACGTGAGGATGTTGTTGTCCGAGGCTGGGAAAATGATCTGTCCGTTGTCTGTGAACTGAGCAGAGGGATCCCTCCATCAGGTGAGATCAGCAGATCCATCAGGACCAGCAGCACTCCCTGGCATGGCGGTGGCAGCCCTCCCATTTCCAAGTCCATTTTGAGCAAATGCCCAAGGAAAGCCACCACCTGCCACTGCTGAAATGGCCACAAAGTCACCTCCTGCTGCAAACAGACCACAGCAGCATCCCAATAGCTTCAGCCCCACAAGAGTCCCATCCCAGGCACCTGGTCCCTGGTGCCTCTCCCAGGGTTTTAGGTGATGGCCAATTGCCCGAGTCAAGGCCAAGCAAACTCACGTAGAGAGAGGTGCGCAGGGTTTTCCCAAATGGGAATCCAGTCTCAGGCTTGAAAAGTGGAGAATTAAAATCCACTCTCCTTTCCACATACTCCTGATCATTTTCCCTTGCTCCATACCCATAGAGGGGTACAGCTGGAACTGGAAAAGAAAACAAACAAACAAACCATAAAACCTAACTACAACAAAGCTTTTGGTCTGTATCAAAAATTGAAAAGGGATGAAATTATCTTGCTTCTACTGGGACAGAATCTGGGCAGCAGACTGATGGGGGGACACTGCTTAAAGCCTCCAGGAACACTCAGCATGTCACCTTCCCTTGAAGGAGCTTGTTCTCCCCCCTTTCACTGCCATACACAAACACAGCTGCCCTAAACCTCTTATGATGGCCTTTGTGGTCACTGTCCCTGTCCCCTGCTTCAACCAGCCCTATTGGGACATTACATTGAATGACTGCCATTCATTCAGGGGAAGAACATTGTACAAGCACTATGGCAGTGGACAGCACAGAATTAAACACCCACAGCTCTTTCTAGAGGCTTTTACAGCCTCCAGCTCCCTATTTATGTCTGTCAAAACAAAAATTTGGAGGGGATGGGATCTCCAGCTGATGGGACTGTATTGAAAGCAGGCTCAGCCTGTCAACAGTGCAAGCTCATGTGCAGGGGCTCCTCGTGCCACGTCTCCCCAGGATCCTGCCTTCAAAGAGATCCTTTTTTTTCTGGGCACTGAATGTTCCTGAGGATGGTCCACCAGGAAACTGGATATGTTAGCCCCATCCAGGCTGCTCTGTGAACATCATGAACCTGCAGGACTGGGCAGCACGGCTGGGGGAGCTGCTGGCACTCCTGGTGGAGATGGAACCATGGGGGACGGAGTGCGGGAGGTGACAGTGGCTGCTCCTGGCCTGGGAAGCACCTCCCTGCCTCTGGGCAGGGGGGCTGGTGGGGCTACAGGATGTTGCTGGGTGTGCAGTGGCTGGGGACCTGCCCTGGGATCCCCCCGGCCTGGGAAGGCTCCAGAAAAGCTTGACCCAGAGGTGGCAGGGGCTCTGTTTGCCAGGCTGGTGGTCAGCTCCCTGCCCAGGAAGGGCTGCAGGGCAGCGGGTGAGGAGCCACAAGCAGGTCCTGGCCCCAGGGTTGCTCCAGGACTGCCAGCAGTGATCCCAGAGGGAGGAAGGCCAGGGAGCCCTGGGGTCCCCCCAGCTGGGGAGTGAGTCTCCATACGTGCCCCGGATCCAGAGGCACTGGGAAGGAGATGGGTTATGTCCCCTTGCCCTGTCATGGTTCCCTGGAGCACAGCACTCCCTTCTCCAGGAGCAGGGCTGTCGGCATCCCCTGAGGGGCTCCCTGGCTGGCAGAGGCAGGAGCAAGGCAGGGCCCCCTGGCACAGCAGCCCCCAGCTCTCCCTTTCCCCCTGCAGAGGACCCCACTATCAACTCACGTGCCGAAAGCCCAGGGCTGGCAGACACCCCCTCTGCAGAATTTCCTCTCTGTGGAGCAGAAGGCAGCACAGGGACAGCGTTGGGGGATGTGGGAGCAGGAGGGGACGCTTCTCCCACAGGTGCTGGCATGCCTGAGGCCACCTCATCTTCAAGAGACCAGGACTGAGCACCTCCAGCTTCTTCTGATAGCCCACTTGGTGACCCTGGCAGCAGGGGGCTGCTCCCAGTCTGGGTGCTTGGTGCAGAGTTGGGGATCCCACTGGGTGCCAGCCCCGAGCTCAGCCCATGTCCAGGGAGAAGCAGAGAGCCAGGCACCGAGGTGGTCATGCCATTGGAAACACTGCTGCTGTCTGGAGCCACTGGGACCGGGCTGGCACCAGGGAAAGGTCCCCCATTCACCGAGGCTCCTCCTGGCACCTCCACCACATTAACTTCGCTCAGTTTGCCATCAGAAAGTTCAGTATTGGCACCACTTTGGGTGCCAGGGGCAGACACAGAGGCTTCCTGAGGGCCAGCAGCCTCCAAGCCTGTGTTCAAGCCACCACCAGCTGCAGCAGCTCCAGGAGGGCTTGTTTCATCAGCAGCCTCGTCCGTCCTTCCAAGTGGTGAAGACGCCTCTGTTGACAAGGAAGAAGATGCAGACTGCAACACACCTCCTGTTTCTCCATCAAGGCTTTCTGAACCAGCTGGTCCCATTCCAGCAGGAGCCTGGGACTGTCCTGTGGACGCTCCATCACCAGCCCCTTCACTTGCCCCTTCTCCTGCAGCAGGAAGGACCCCAGTGCCAGCACCCAGGGAGGGCTGAAGACCTTCAGCAGCACTGTCTGCTCCTCCGAGTGCACCCAGGCTGGATGGGTCTGAAACAGAGGAGGCTGAGACATCACCACTGGGAGAGGCCGAACCAGATGAGGACCCTGCACCAGGCAGTTCACCCTGCTGAGGGCTGACAGCTGAAGGATTTGTCTCCATGTTGGGATTTTCACTCTCTGTGTTTCCTGCCTGTGCCACATCCCCTGCACTCCCAGCCCCCTGCACCAGACCAAACCCTGGGCCAGTCTCACCATCTGGAGAGGCCGGGGACAGACTGTCAGGGCCAGGGGCTGCAGATGGGACAGGTCCTGCTTCATCACCCCCTGACACAGAAGGTGCTGCCACCACATCACTGGGAGAGGTAACACCAGATGAGGAGCCAGCACCGGGCAGTTGATCCAGCCCAGCTGCTATTCCACTCCCTGCAGGGGAGCCCAGGGATGGCTCAGACTCAATCCCACTGCCTGCTCCTTCCAGTGCTGGCTCTGCTGCGCTGCCTCCTTGTCCTGCTGCTGCTGGCAGCCCCACATTTGTGCCGAGCTGGTCCCCAAGGCCAGGTGATGGGGGTCCTACTGGTCCATGAACTGCTGAGCTGGGGGTATCCCATGCCAAAGTCGAGTCAGTGTCTGGCCCTTGGGCCCCAGGGAGTCCTGCTCCCACGGGAGCACCAGCTGCTGTTCCCCATGGCTGTGGCCCACCAAAGGATGGAGATCCAGGTGCTCCCTGGGCAGCACTGAGGTCAGGGCTCACTGGTGTCTCTGCCTCAGACACAGGGCCAGCCACTGACCCCAGGGGTGGGGAAACAGCCCCAGGAGCATTGGCTGATTCACTGGGCAGGTCCCCTGGTCCTTCAGGCCCTGAGAGGTCAGGTTCCATTCCAGCACTGCTGTGAGGTGCAGGACCAGGTGAGGACACTTGTCCCAGTGCTGGGGCTCCTCCTGTTCCTGTTGCAGTTCCATCTCCAAGTGCTGATGGAGGGGAAAGTTCAGCATTTGCCATATCCCCTGTTTCTTCTGCTGGCAGCTCTCCAGTGTTAGTGAGGTCTTGTTCAGGGCTGACAGCTGAAGGATTTGTCTCTGTGTTGGGATTTTCACTCTCTGTGTTTCCTGCCTGTACCACATCCCCTGCACTCCCAGCCCCCTGCACCGGACCAAACCCTGGGCCAGTTTCACCATCCGGAGAGGCCGGGGACAGACTGTCAGGGCCAGGGGCTGCAGATGGGACAGGTCCTGCTTCATCACCCCCTGACACAGAAGGTGCTGCCACCACATCACTGGGAGAGGTAACACCAGATGAGGAGCCAGCACCGGGCAGTTGATCCAGCCCAGCTGCTATTCCACTCCCTGCAGGGGAGCCCAGGGATGGCTCAGACTCAATCCCACTGCCTGCTCCTTCCAGTGCTGGCTCTGCTGCGCTGCCTCCTTGTCCTGCTGCTGCTGGCAGCCCCACATTTGTGCCGAGCTGGTCCCCAAGGCCAGGTGATGGGGGTCCTACTGGTCCAGGAGCTGCTGAGCTGGGGGTATCCCATGCCAAAGTCGAGTCAGTGTCTGGCCCTTGGGCCCCAGGGAGTCCTGCTCCCACGGGAGCACCAGCTGCTGTTCCCCATGGCTGTGGCCCACCAAAGGATGGAGATCCAGGTGCTCCCTGGGCAGCACTGAGGTCAGGGCTCACTGGTGTCTCTGCGTCAGACACGGGGCCAGTCACTGACCCCAGGGGTGGGGAAACAGCCCCAGGAGCATTGGCTGATTCACTGGGCAGGTCCCCTGGTCCTTCAGGCCCTGAGAGACCAGGCTCCATTCCAGCACTGCTGTGAGGTGCAGGACCAGGTGAGGACACTTGTCCCAGTGCTGGGGCTCCTCCTGTTCCTGTGCCATCTCCAAGTGCTGATGGAGGGGAAAGTTCAGCATTTGCCAAGTCTTCTGTTCCTCCAGTCAGCAGCTCTCCATTATCAGCAGGAGATGCTGAGGGCTGAAGGGCTGGAGGACTCATGTCACTCTGGGTGTCTTCATAGGGACCAGCATCCTCTGAATCTCCTGCCTGTGCCACGTCCCCTACCCCCTCAGCTGCCTGGCCTTGGATCCCAGCAGTGGGCCATGCCAGTCCGTCAGGCGCTGGGCTGGGGGCATCTGAATCTGAACTCAAGCCAGTGCCAAGCCCATCGGGTTCCTGGGGAGCTCCAGCTGGCATCCCTGCTGGCTCTGACTCCCCAGGAGATGGAGACTCGGCTGCTTCCAGGCCACCAGTGAGGTCAGGACTTGCTGGGGTCTCTGCTGCACCATCAGCTTCAGGCAGGGCGCTGGGTCCAGCCTCTGGGGCTGGGGCAGCTGGGGCAGGAGCACTGGGGGTGTCTGTGGGGAATGTCAGAGCATCAGGAAGCAGCAGTGGCTGTTCTCCAGTGGGGGTCTGCCATGAGGCAGGCTGGAGGGATGGAGTGGCCAGATCCACAGCTCTCACATCCTCTGTGGGCAGCACAGTGGCTGAGACTGGGAGATTTGTGTCACTCTGTGCATCAGTGGGAGCCCCTGGTGCCGGCAGGGAGGTGGCAGTGTCCTCTGTTTCCTCAGGAGCCACAGGTGCCCTGCTGGCTGCAGGCAACAAGGCTGAACCAGAAGCATCTGATGACATCCCGGGAATTCCCTGCCCATCCCCATCCCCACCATTGGATGGTGTCAGCGAAGTGTCTGGGCTCAGTGCCTGGCCAGGGAGGAGGGAGGACTTCCCAGGGCTTTCCACCGTTCCTGACATCACTGGGCTCTCTGTAGGCAGGTGGGTTGGATTGGCTGTGCTGAATTCACCATTTATTGCATCTCCTGGATCTCCAGAGTCTGAAGGGAAGGGACTTTCCTCACCAGCTGGGGCCGTTTCTCCTTCTGGCTCTGGGTTAATGCCCTCAACCCCACCCACTGCTCCATCCTGCTGGGTTGGGAGCAGCTCCCCAGCATCAGGACTGGAGCCCATGGAGTTGGCAGTGGCTTCACTTTGAGTAGCTTCAGGCAGGGTTACACCTTCCTCCACTGCTGCCTTGGCTGTGGTCAGCCCTTGGCTCAGCAGCACAGTGACGCCAGCAGTTGGCTGTGGCACCCAGGTGACTGCCAGAGGAGGGGTGGTGGGCAGGGATGGAGTGCCACTACTGAGGTCTGTACTGATGTCCTCCTTCACATCCGCAAGGACAGGGGTGGTCCCCAGGGGGACATCAGGAGTGACCTCTGGTTCATCATGCGCTGCTTCTGGGGTGACAGCGGGGTGCTGTGTGGGGATGGCAGCAGCAGTCATGGCTGTATTGGGAGCAGTTGAATTTCCCTCAGTATTCATGTTAGGAGCCTTGGTCCCGTTCACCAAAGCTGCCACTGAAGGGCCGTGTTCACTCGTCGCCATCACTGGGGCCATCTCAGTCCAGGGAGGGAAGGTCTCAGCATCAGCTGCTGTGGCAATCAGCTCTGTAGTATGGGGCCACTCGTTCTCTGTTGTCATGGGGAACGCTGTCCCCACAGCAAAGGACCCATCGGTAGTGACAGGGACAGCAGTGACAGCCCCAAGCCCTGCAGAGAAGCACAAAGAGGAGTGTTACTGTGGGAGCTGGAGCTGGCAGCCTGCCAGGCTCAGACACCTCTCTGTGAGAATCACAAAGCTCCCACCACTTCTTAAACCCCTTCTCCCTAATCCCACAGCCTTACAAGGCCCTGATTTAAAAGCCAAGGAGCGCAGTCTGGGCTGCCTGGGGTGCAGCACCTCTTGCATCCTCAGCATCAGCAGCTGAGGCTGGACACAACCCATTGCAGGTCAGAGAGAGACACTGGTGCAAGCATGGAGGCAAAAGCATCTGCTGAAACCCAGTCCAGTCATGCTGGGGATGGTACTGGGATGCCTGGCCACTGGGTAGAACTGGAGCCCAGTAAGTCTAGTTGATACCCTGGGGATGTCTGTGGAGCTCTGCTACTTCAGGGCAACCCTCAGCCCTCTTTCCATCTCTGCAGGGACAGCTCGAGCACTGTCGCCTCTGCAGAGCCTGAAGGGTTCTGTGATTTTTCACCTTTTGGGTGTCTGAGGGATATTTAAATAACTTTACACAAAGCCCTTTGTCAGACAGGAAAGCCAAGGCTTAGGGAAGCCTTCCCTGACTGCAGATGGATTCTGATCTGCTGCACTTAAAGAAGGTTCAATAAAATTCTCCTGGGCTGAGCGTCTGCCTGCTCCTGCCCCCATCCCTCTTGCCTCTAGCTGAGTGAAGGCACCAGGGGTTCCCCACCCCTGCAGGGAATATTTGCAAGCTCCCAGGACCAAGCCCTTCTTACAGTTCTGTCCTGCTGCCAAAATTCTAAGCCACATCCAGGAGCTCTGCTGAAAGGAGGAGACACCTGCCTACATCCCAGACATGTCTCCCAGAACCTACTGGCATCCATGAGTGACGTTTCACACGGTCTTATTTTTAGGGCAGGGACACAGGCTCTGGGGTGCCCAAGCTGCCGCCGTTGGCTCCGTGAGGAGCCGGGTGGATCTGCTGACGTTTGGCTTTAAGGAGCTTCAATTAGGGGAGACGAAAGGCACCCCGATGGCAAGATCCAGCAGGGCTTTGCCACAGCCTGACAGCCCCAGCCTGTTCCCAATCCTGGTGCTCCAGTTCATCAGGTTCCCCCTGACAGGCAACCAGATCTCCCTGCAGCAGAAGTGTCTCCAGCCTCAGCCCCGGCTCAGCTCGTTAGCTCCCAGATAGCATGAGCAGGTCATTAATTAATATTAACTCCTGTGCCAGACCAGTCCTCGAGGTGTCCATCCTCTGCTAGACCCACATTCCCTTTCCTAGCAGGCTGCTTCAGTGTCATCTTCCCTGGCTGGAAAAGGCTCTTTGTACCAGCCCCCTCAGCCAAAGGAGCTCCCCTTCTCAGGGAAGACAAAGTACATCAGTCAAGTCACCCCAGTTTAGTTTGGCCCACTCACCCTGTTAAATCACTGTTTTAACTTAATTCTTCAATGTGGAGCAGGAAACACCATCTACCCCACACACCCATTCATGGGAAGTTTGTGCAAGAGGGGCCCCAGCATGCAGCACCAGTGTTTGCTCTTCCCTGGGATGTGGGAGGGATGGGAGCATCCCTGGGTCCTGCTCTGCCAGCTTGCTTGCCTCGGCTCCTTTGCTGGAGGGGCACACAGCTGCCTGCAGGCTTCAGGGCTGGGCTCTCATCTCTCCCATGGCTCCACACCTGCAAGCAGCCCCTCGGGGTGATGCCTGCCCTGTAAAATGCTTTTCCAGCTCTTTGGCTGCAATGCCTGGCAAGGACTGGTCATAAGAGGAGTTTCCAGTACAGCCAGGAGTGCAAAGCATCTCACAGTGTACCTGCTGCACCCTGAGAGGGCTCAGGTAGCACATGGGCTAGCAGAAAAATATGGGACGTACCGTGCAGAATCCATGCGCAGCATCCCAGCAAGGTGGAGAGCATCCATCCCCTGGCCCCCATGCCTCAGGCCTCCACACAGGCAGAGCACTAGGAAGCTCAAAGGGAGCAGAGAGCAGCAAGGAGCAGCTCCCTCTGTCCCTCCCTGCCTGCCTCTCCTGCAGAGCTGGAGTCCCACAGGTGCTCCTGCTCCTGCTCCCTCCTATTTATAGGGATGGCAGAAGGAGGCAGGTTACCGACGTCCTCTCCCGCCCCCGGTCCCTTCCCTCCAATGTCCCTGTCACCCTTCCCTTCCTGCAGAGCCCTCCCCTTCCCAAGGGCTGGATGCCCTGCTCAGCTGGGACATGGGCTGGGTGTACCCAAAGCCCACCCTGCAGGGACCCACATCCCCCCCAGGCTCTCTCCTGGGCTCAGCCTGGTACAGCTCCCTGGGCTGCCAGCACCAGAAAGTGAAGCTGAGCCTAGAGCAGTGTGTGGCACTGCCAACAGTGGCATAGCAGTCACCCCACAGAACCTGTTCCCCATGGCAGTCACCCCACAGACCCCACAGAACCTGCTCCACATGCAGGGTATGGGGCCATAGACCAGTGTGTGGTGGTGACAGGGCAATGTCAGCTGGTGTCACCATGCCTGTGAGGACACCATGGACACTAAAAGCACCAGCTGAGCCATGTGTTAGCCTAGAGCAAGGCAGGACACAGGTCTCCACTTGGCTCCCCCAGAGCAGAGGCAGGTTATAAAGCAGGGAGAAGCATGGCTGGGGTCAGGCTCTGGTGTGTCAGTTGAGCTCCACAGTGCTCAGCAGCCACTAGAAGCACTGGGGATCCCTCTTCAGAGCCCCAGCACACCCAGTGGAGTTTGAAACCTGCACCTCAGTCTGGGCACAGCAGTGCTGGGGTGCTGGGAAGGGGTGAATGGTCCAGGGAGGCTTCTCTGCAAGGTTGGACCAGCATCTCCAGAAGATGGAGCAGGAAAAGGAGCAGACCCAGACCCACTTCCCTGCTGTGGGGATCCCCTGAGTCACTTCACCCCTATATCTCACCCCCCTCCTCCTCCTCGAGCAGCAATTCCTGCACACCCCCTTGAAAACTGCTGCCAGCTCCCCTGTGAACAGCATTATGCAAACTCCCACCACTACATGAGTTTGTAGTCAATTAAACACTTCAAAAATGCCCCCAGGCAACTCCTGCAAAGTGTTCTGAGGGGTGTTAGGCGGAACACAGTGTCCCGCTGGATCGGGCAGCAGCACAGCGAGTGACACCAGTGACACTGAGCCGGGAAGTGCCAGGGAGGCCGGGTCACGGCTGAGCAAACCCCGGCCCTGACACCCACGCAGAACCCCCTGTGGCAGGGAAACGGCCACAGACCATAAACCAGGGCACTGTCACTCACCTGGAACTAAACACCTGCCCACCAAAAATGCCACTGGGGGTGTAAAGCTGTGGGGGGGACAGTACACTGGGGGTCTTGCAACAGCACTGCAGATCATGGGGCGACTGATGGATCAGTGACCACCTGGGCAATGACCACACCAGGCTGACGGAGGATTTGAGAGATGCAAACCTGCCGTGGGAAGAGTGGTTCCTGCCCGTGCTGACGATGCTGTATCACTTTGGAAAGCAACCCCAGCAGGGTTGCTGACACTGGAGAGTGTTGCTCCAGATGGTGTTTGAGGTGCAAAATGTGGTGGGAGCCACAGGGATTGTTGCAAACATGCTGCTCAGCATAGAGGAAAACAACTCAGCTGAAGGGAGGGGCTGGCCCCAGCTCTGCCTGCAAGCTCCCGTCTGTGCTCCACAGAGGCCAGCACTGTCTGCAGACCCTTGTGCCTGCAACTCCTGCCCATGCTGGCCCCCAGAAATGCCCATCTCAGACAAACCAAACTCATCCCTCTGCTCAGGCATTGGCACACCCTCCCAAGAAAGCCCAGAGCCACCAAGGGATGCCTCATCTTGAGGACAGTACCCTGTTACTACTCTGGGAAGGGGCTTTTTATTGTTCTTTTTGCAATGTCTGAAACCAAGGTCCTGGCAAAGCACTGGTTCCTGTAAAAGTCATTAATCCATTGCTACCAAAGACCAAAGCATCATGTGGGCACTGGAGCCCTTCAGGAGCCTGTAGCCAGGGGGCAATTCCGTGAATCCCAGCATTCACGGGCTCTGCACCATCCAGCATGGCAGAGCATGGCCCAGCATAGTGCCTTATCAGCTTTCCTGGAATTAATGGGCTGGTTGTTCCAGTCCTGTGGAGAACATAGCATCTTCTACTGGCTCCCCTCCAGCCTCCTGGCAAGGGCATTTGGAGAGTGCTCAGGGGTGGCAATAGGGAAAAGCAGGTTATCCATCAACCCCACAGGTTCTGGATGACTTGGCATGCTGGGTGTGTTGCAACACCCTCCTGCCAAAGAGTGGGAGCTGGGCTATAGCCATCAGCAGGGGTGAAGGGAAGGGGGACACTGGAAGGGACACCTGAGTCACAGGGGACTTGAGACATGCCCCATGATGCTGCCAGGTCCTCCAAAGGTGACAGTCATGTTGAGCACAAGATTTGTTCCTTTGGACAATGCTGAGAGATTGGAGTGTATCACAGCAAAGAGGCTGAGAACTCTTTTGTGGGCTGGACTTGGATCCAGCCTCCCAAGCCCCTCTGGGCAGCAGTCTGTGGCAGGCAAGCAGCCATGGGGTGAAGGTGGCACCTCAAGGACAGCAGAGTATGGGCATAGGAAGAGTATGGGCAGTGTCAGGGGCTTGTCAGAGCTCGGTGCCACCACTGCCTGGGCAGTGACACCACTCCAAGGGAGCCACATCCTCCCACCGTGCCCCTCTCCTCCCTCCCAGGCTGGTGACAGAGGGGACCAGAGCATCTCCTCCCCCCACAGTCCCCCAGCCACAATATCGGTGGAGGGCGGCTGTGCCAGCAGGGAACAGTGAGTACCCTGGTCACCTTTTCATCCCAGCATTTCAGGACCTTTTCCTCCCTTTGTGACGCAGTTTGGCTCCATTACCCCGGCCCTGGCACCCGGCCATGTCCTGGGGTCTGAAGTTATGGATTCAACAGCCGGAGAAAACAGCCCAGTGGGACGCGACGTGGGAGGACTCCTGGCCCAGCTCCAAGGCGTAGGCAGACCACAAGGATTTCTTTCCCAGCACCCCAGCAGGCAGCCAGCACAGGGACTCCTTCCAACAGGCTTTGCCCTGCTCGCCGGCTCCTTGCCCAGCTGCTAAGGGACCTCTCTCAGTCTCCATGAGTCCAACAAGCCCACAAAAGCCAGGCAGCATCCTAAAGAGCAAAGGGGCCACCCTGGAATGCAAGGGACAGCCCAAATGGGAGCATCCTGACAAGCTGCCTGGGCACAGCCTCCAGCCCAGCCTCTCCCAGGCCCTCTGAACTGGCAGGCAGCTGGGTGATGCCACAGTGTCTCTCCCCATCCTCTCCAGCTGCTGGCTCCTTCCCAGCCAGCTGACAATCCAGGCAGCCTGAGAGAAGTCCCCAGGTTGGGAACCCCACAGCCCCACACACCCCCTCTCAGCCCTCCCTGTGCTGGGGCAGTGAGGGCTGCCAGTGAGAAGCAGGGATCAGCCAAAAACAACCCCTGACACGCAACAAGGCCATTTTGCTAATTATTTCAGTTTTCAATCTCCAGGTGAGGTGGCTTGCTAAGGCTAATAATTGCTTCGGTTGGATTTTATCTGGCTAATTAATCAGTTAATAAATGACTTTGCTACAGGGGGACAGATGTTGCAGACTTCTCCTTAGCTGGGGACTGGAAAAAACAAGGAAGGAGCACAGCCCACAGGATTTCCACAGCCCCACAGTGCTGCCCCTGCAGCTGTGGGTGTTATGGGGCAGAGAGCTCCAAAGCAGAGACCACCAGTCTGCCAGGGTGCTGAGCCATCCTTGGGAATGTCTGCAGCAGCCCCTGGTGGGAGGGGACAGCACTGAGCCCAGCTCTCCACGCAAAGCTCTGGGGAACCAGTTTTCCTCACCAGTACCTCCAACAGATGGCAAAGCTGAAAACTGGGAAAGGCAACTCGGAAAACTGAAAAAAGAAGCCATCGTTTCAACACAGAAAACATGGAATTTCTATTTACTGCCCGTCATGGGTGTTCTCTTCTGTCAGCAATACTGCAGGTGAGCCTTGGGAACAGCAGTACTGGGGGCTTCAGGTCTCCTTCCTCTCATTCCTCTGTCCCCAGGGTGGCTTTGATGGCTGAGCCATCAGTCCCAGATGCAAAAGCCCAGTCCCGTGGGGTCCCCTTCTCCCAGCCCCGCAGCAGAGCTGGAGGAGGTCCCACCACAGGAACCAGGTCTGGAGCAGGGTGGTGGGAGGGCACGGGCTCTTCAGACAGGCTGTGGGAAGGGGCAGGAGGGGACTGGGGGAACAGAGTGAAGGACGGGAAGCCCCAGGTTCAAGAGGAGCTGAGTGGGATTCCCCAGGGCCCTGCACCACCATGGAATGAGGAGCTGGGAGCGGGTGGCTGGGCAGTCCAGGAGGGAGCAGGCCAGGCGAGGGACAGCGGTCAAGTCCTCCTCTTCCCTCGCCATGCCAGTGACAGGCCAGCACACGGGAACGCTGTCTGCAGGTCCTCACGGAGCTGGGGGGAAAGAACAGCCATCAAACTGTGCCAGAGGGGCTTCCTACCCACTGTCCCCACATAGAAAGGGCCTTATCCTGGACTATGGCAATCAAAGGAGGGTCTCCCCTTCATCTGAAAGAGCTCTGCATGGCATTCAATGCAAGATGCAGCTATTCCCCTCCCTGGGTCAACCACAGCTGGCAGATACAGAGTGGGATCTCCTCCTGCACACCTCACCTTGGACAACACCAGCTCCTGCACCGTGGTGTTCCCCAGGTCCAGAGGGGTGCTTAGCCGCAGCGACAGAAAGAGGTAAGATGCACCTAGGAATTAAAAACAGGACTCTGGTTATTGCCCTTGAACCCTGGGCTGGGCCAGACGACCTGAGGGTCTCTCCCCAGGGCTGCTAGCACAGACATGGAACATCCTCCCAGGTTAATTGTGTCATGGACACACTACATTGTCACAACAAGCCTCTTACTGCACAGCAAACCCCACGTACCCCAAAGCATCAGCACCTCCACACTGAGAGCACAGCAAGAGGAGTGGGACTCCAGGACCCCCTGCACTGGCCCAAGCACCAATGCTGGGGGTGGAGATGCCCGTGGGCACTGCACTTACTGGTGTTGGATGAGCCAGAGGGGCAGACTGGCGGCAGTGTTGGCAGCTCTGCAGGCGTGCTGAGGGTAGTAGCCTCTGAGGTCTGGGCTGAGCTGGTGGCAGGGGAAGAGGGCTCAGTGCCTGGGCAAAGCAATGTTAGGTTAGTGCTGTCTGCTCCTGCAGCTGGGGACAGGCCTAGGTGAAGCCACCCAAGTACATGGGGTTCCCATGGGGATTTTTCACCCTGACCATATCCCTGCCTTCAGGTGTCCCCCGGGGTGCCCCCAGGCGGAACCCACCCATGGCTGCACTGGGGATCCCAGATACTGTCAGGGTACCTGGAGTCAACCCCACAGATGAGGGGAAGATGTCAGGAGTGGTCCTGTCTGGGTAGCTGGAAGAAGGAGTGCTCATGGGGTCTGATGTGCTGATGACAGAGCTGGATGTGGTATCTGCCAGGGTTGCCAAGGATTCTTCTGTAGATTCGGATGAATCTTCTGTAGCTGTGGTGGCAGGAAGCACAGTGGGAGGTGAGGTGTTGCCAGTCTCTGCGGATGTGCTGGACTCCTCTGGGGTGGAGGCTTCTGTTTCAGGGCTGGAGGAAAGGAGGGTGTCTGTGGTGGCGGAGTCAGTGGTAGGCAGCAGTGGTGAGCTCTCCATGGGTGTTGAGGAGGTAAGGAGAGCTGGAGACACAGTTGCTGTCACACCCATGGCAGTGGTCTCTGCAAAGAGTCGGGACAATGAGATGCACAAGAGTTGGTGGTGAAGGGCTGAGTCCATGGCTATGCTGGGTATGGTGCAGTATCATCACCACAGTGAGCTCCCCAGGGAACTCAGAGCTGCACATCAGCATGGAGCATTGTGAGGGGGAGTTCACTGTCCTGCATGGATCAAACACACAGATCTCTTCAATGGGTATCAGCCAGGCAGACCACATAAATCCCCAGCCTGACAAAGCAGAACAAGCCATGGCCATTGCTGGTTTCAGGACAGAAACACCTCTAGGCGCCAGTCCTAAGACCCATTCCACCATCTTCACCCATCCCTGGAGGAAGTCAGACAAACCCGTCTGACAGGAAGAGCCAAGCAGGAACTGGTGACCGTGAGACAGTCTGGAAGTGCAGCAGCAGCAGTTTAAACAAACCCTCTGCTCTGCAGATAGTCAGGAACTGATAGCGATAGCGGTGGGTGTAAATAATGGCAACGGGGGAAGCAGCCCCACAAAGGAACAAATCCCAGCTTGCAGCTCAGGATGAGCCGATAGAGACGTGCTGTGACCCACCAAAGCTCTGGGAGGGAGCGGCTGGGGCACAGGAGGGCTGTCCTCTCTTCCACCATGGACTGCACTCCAGCAGTGTGCTGTCCCCAGAAAAGCCCAGGGATCTGTAACCCTCTGCAAAGGACAGGTAGGACAGCCTGACTACCTGGACCTTAGTCAAGGGGTGTCTGTGAGGTGGTGGCTTTGGGATACCAGACTGGATTCCCCAGTGATCCCAGCACAAACCGGTGAGTCTGGGGCTCTGCTTGCATGAGGATGGGAAACTGAACCACAAGCTGCCATCTGCTTTCAGCCAAGCCAGCCAGAAACTTCCAAAGCCCCTGGCAGCCAGGCCCTCTTTGCACAGAGCAGCTGGTTAAATAAAAATACAGAGAAGGCCAAAGGTCTGACCCTAGGTCTCACCCTTGCCAGGTGAGCATCTGCACCTCACACAAGGTGAGGTCATCTTCATCCTCACAAAAGGAGAAGCAGCAAGTCCACCTCTCTTCCCATTTAAGAAGCAGGAAACAGCCCCCGCAGCATTCCACCCCCCTGCACCCTACAGTGCCACCTCTCCACCCTGGGGAATGATGCTCCCCGCTCACCACCCACCCTGCAGAGAGCATGGCACCCCACTGAGCCCTTACCCAGAGCCAGGTGCAGCACGGCGAGGCAGGTGAGGCTCAGCAGCAGCAGCAGCAGCAGGGGCCAGAGCAGGGGCAGGGCCAGCCCTCCTCTCTGCCCAGCCATGTCCAGATGAGCAGGAGCTGACAAACCCCCGCAGGCACTGCTCTGAGTGCTCCCCACAGCCCCAGCACTGGGGTTTCCAGGTCTCCTTCACCCAGCAGAGGAGGAGCATCCAGATGGGTCCTTTTACCCTGCAGGTGCTGGCAGCGAGGCAGTGGGTTCCACCTGACACGGACACTCCCAGGGACTGGTGTAATGCCCAGCAGACATCAACTGCACGGCTGGACCCAGAACAGCCACAAAAAGTGGGCAGGACAGGCCACCAAGGCCACCACTACCACAGACTTGGCTCCTGTGGCCGTCCTCTGCCTGCTGTGGGGAGGGTCACAAAGGAAAAAAGCCCAGGAATGCTCCAGGCTGCTCGGAACCCCGCACTTCGCCACAGGGGTGATGTTTGGTGGCGGCTCCCAGCACCAACACCCTCAGGAGACAACAGCCAGCTCTGTCTGAGCGTGAGGAACCGGCCAAGAGAGCAGGCGGCGCTCAGGAAGGGCGTGCCTCAGGCTGAGGGTTTGTCCCCTGGGCTGTCTGAGCAGGCATCACTTCCCCGTGTCACACTGGGGCTGCTTCCTTCTTCTCAGGGTCAGGGACAAGAGCACTGAGGCGCCTGCAGGCCCCGGGCCAGGTATTCGCATTCCACAGGCAGGCAGGCATGCTGGAGGATTGTCAGGACATAGCCACCCTGCTGCTGAACAGCTGCACGGGGGCTCTGCCAGGGCACAGGCACACAGAGGCCATCACCAGGGTGCTGGCACTCCCATGAGGTGCTCTCACACCACAGGCAAGGGGCCAGGGTGCAGGTATTCTGTGAGGCTACAGTAGCTCTGCTGGGGTACAGGAGCATGTGCGTGGCCAGGGGTACTGGGGCAGGGTACAGTGTCCCTGTCCTGGTTGAGGTGCACGGCGTGGGCTGTCACCAGGGTACATCTGCAGTCCCAGGATAAAGGCCCCTCCAACAGCCACGAGGATCCAGCCACACTGACAGGATACAGGTGCTCAGTAAGCAGCACTGACAGGTGACAGCTGCCTGGGGGGACTGTTGGGGCACAGTCACATTCCTTGGGGTACAGAGATTGTCCAGGGGTGTGTACATACAGACCCAGTGCAGGGGCACAGCCACACAGCAGTGCTGTCACACCTCAGCACAGGTTCCCAGCCTGGGACCACCCACTGGTCTGCAGAGCCTGGAGACTGGGTGGCCCCTGGGGGAAGAAGCCAAGTGCTTGACTGAGTAAGATGGGAGATCTGTGGGGATTTACCACCCTGATCCTGACCTCTGGGTGCCCTGTAGCTGCACTCACCTGCAGTGTCACTGGAGGCCTCTGGTTCTCTTGGGGTGGAAGTACCAGGGGTGGTCCCAAGGACCTCTGTGGTGGTAACAAGGGAGGTCATGGTGTCTGATTGGGTCGTCAAGGGCCCATCTGGAGTGTCTGTCACTTCTGGGATGGTGGAAGAAGAGGTGGTAGTAACAAGGGAGGTCATGGTGTCTGATGGGGTCGTCAAGGGCCCATCTGAAGTGTCTGTCGTTTCTGGGATGGTGGAAGAAGAGGTGGTACTAACAAGGGAGGTCATGGTGTCTGATGGGGTCGTCAAGGGCCCATCTGGAGTGTCTGTCGTTTCTGGGATGGTGGAAGAAGAGGTGGTAGTAACAAGGGAGGTCATGGTGTCTGATGGGGTCGTCAAGGGCCCATCTGAAGTGTCTGTCATTTCTGGGATGGTGGAAGAAGAGGTGGTGCTGGTCCCTGGGGATGTGCTGCCAAGCAGTGTGGTCATGGCTGGCCCCTGGTGGGTGCTGGTGCCAAGCGTGGTGCCCACCCCGGTGGAGGAGAGAAGAGTAGATGTGGAGGGAGGCAGTGTGCTCATTTCAACTCCAAATGAGCTGACAGCCAGGGCTGTGCTGGTCCCCACAGATGTGCAAGTGGTAGTCTTGTCACTGCTGAGTGTCATGGCCATGGAGGTTGGAGTTGGCGTGCTGGTGGTCCTGAGCCCCAGCCCTGCTGGGGTACTGCTGGTGGTGGGTCCCAGCCCAGGTGACACAGGAGAGCTGTGAGCTGTGCTGCCCCTTGCCTGTGGTGTGGTGATGTTGGAGGCTGCCAGGCTGCTCTGCTGAGCTGTAGAAGCACTGGATGTGAAGGCATCCGTTGGCATCTCTGGGGTGGAGGTTGCAGGAGGAGAGGAAGGGAAGGTGGCTGCAGTGCTTGAGCTGGTGTTGGGCAATGGAGCCATGGTCTCTGTGGGTGTCGAGGGGGTTGGGAGAGTCAGGGATGCAGGGTTTGTCATATCTTTGACAGTGGTCCCTGAAAAGAGGTGGGAGATAACACATAAGGGCTGGCAGTGAAAGGCTGGGACCACAGCTCTGCTGGGGATGGTGCAATACTACCACCACCATGAACTGCCCAAGCCTTGCATCAGCCATGGATCATCAGGAGTGGGGATTCCCTGTCCTGCATGGATCAAGCACATGGATTCCCTGAATAGCAACATGACAATCAGCCAGGCAGACCACATAAATCCCCAGCCTGACAAAGCAGGAACAAGCCATGGCCATTGCTGGTTTCAGGACAGAAACACCTCTAGGCACCAGTCCTAAGACCCATTCCACCATCTTCACCCATCCCTGGAGGAAGTCGGACAAACATGTCTGACAGGAAGAGCCAAGCAGGAACTGGTGACCGTGAGACAGTCTGCAAGTGCAGCAGCAGCAGTTTAAACAAACCCTCTGCCCTGCAGATAGTCAGGAACTGATAGCAGTGTAAATAATGTAAATAAATAGTGTAAATAATGGCAACGGGGAAGCAGCCCCACAAAGGAACAAATCCCAGCTTGCAGCTCAGGGCATGTCCACAAGAAACCTGTTGCAACCCACAAAAGCTCTGGGAGGGGGTTGAGTGGTGCAGCAGAAGGGGACCTACAGCTGTAGTTCAAGGTTCTCAGGGGGTACAAGTTGCAGGTTTATTCCCAGTGCTCCACTCAAGACTGCTCTTTTCATCAAGTGCAAATGTTGGGATAGCATTTGAAGTTCTCCAGGCCTAGTATATCCCAGTGAGGTTGCCATCTGGGCAGGGCCATTTGGTAGTACTGGGCAGGTTGTAGCAAAGGCAATGGGCCCAGCAAGCACCAAGGCTCAGCAAGAGGGTCCAGCTGAGCCTAAGGTTTTCTCTCCCCAGATGGAGACCCACATCAGAGGCAAAAGAAACAGAGCTTATTGCTTGTGTCCTATAAAGCACTGCCCTGTTTGATCACTAGGACAGGGATGTTGGAGAGCAAACAGCACCTGAAATGTTTCACTTCTGTGGGCAAAGTTACCCCAGGGCCACCCACCACCCTGGTGAACGATGCTCATCACTCATCCACCCCCCACCCCACCCCAGGGATAGGTCCACATAGCGCTCAGCCCTTACCCAGTGAGAGATCCAGCACAACAAGGCCCAGCAGCAGCAGGGGCAGCCCTCCCGTGCCCCGAGTCATGTCCAAAACCAGCACCCCAATGCCTTGCAAGGTAAGGGACCTGAGGACGCAGGGCGAGGGGAAGGTGCCAGCAGGGAACTACGCTGCCGAGTGATGGCTGAGGGTAGTTGGAGCTGCTTCCTCGTTCCCGTGCGGACGGAGGGGAGGCACCAGCGGGCACGGACACCCCTCCCGGGGCAGGGGCAGCGCCCTGGGCGCGCCGGGGCCATCGCCGCGGCACCTGCGCCCGTGTGCGGGGGGCGGTCCGGCCGTGAGCCGCGCCCCTCGGGACACGGCCACGCCCGTGGGCACGCCCTTCGCACACGCCCACGGCTTGTGTAACACTCGGGGCTGCGTGGTTGCCGGTAGGGACCGGGGCCGGGGGCCGGGACCTCGTTATTTCCCGGTTCCCGAGGAGCAGGACGGGCAGAGGAGCAGCATCCCCCGGGCTCTGGGGGCGGGCCGGGGCCGGGATCCGCCGGGATCCGCCGGGAGGGAAGCGCGGGAGCTCAGGCCGGCCTGTTCTCCTCTGGCAGCAAACACGCTGCTCCGGGCGGTGCTGGGGATGCGGCGGGGACGCGGGAAGCGGAAGGCCGCGGTCACGGAGGTGCCGCGCGTGGCTCGGAGGAGGACGGAGGGGGAGGAAGCCATGCAGGAGGCCCGTCGGAGGGCGGCCCCGTCCGTTCGAGAGTTCAAGTACAACAAAAAGCGGGTGCGCCTCGTCTCGCAGGGCTCGGACCTGAAGGATGATGCTCGGTGCATCCTTTACTGGATGTGCCGGGATCAGCGAGTGCAAGGTGCGAACCAGCTGGTGAAATGGGCTCCCATGGGTGGTAAAAGCGCTGGTCCCTTCCTTCGATAACTTTGGTGCTGGCCTCACTCTCTGCTGGGGGGAAACTTCCTGTGAAACCCCATCCCCATCCTGTTGGTGAAGCACCCTCCTGATGCTGCCCTGTGTACTTTCCCCCCAGATAACTGGGCTTTCCTCTACGCCCAGCGCCTAGCCCTCAAACAGGAGCTGCCTCTGCACGTCTGCTTCTGCTTGGTGCCCAAATTTCTGGGGGCCACCATCCGCCACTACAGGTTCATGCTGAGGGGCCTACAGGAGGTGGCAGAGGTACAGCCAGGGGATGTCTGTGCTGGGTGGGACAGGGCTCCTGGGGAAGGGGGGAGGCAGATCCATCCTTTAAGCAGATGGTGGTTGGGTGAGGTTGCAGAACCATGAACTGTCCCACAGCCATTTCTTTGTCACTGCAGGAGTGTGCAGAGCTGAACATCCCCTTCCATTTGCTGCTGGGCTATGCCAAGGATGTACTGCCTACGTTTGTGGTGGAGCATGGTGTGGGTGGGCTGGTGACAGACTTCAGTCCCCTCCGCCTCCCCCGGCAGTGGGTAGAGGATGTCAAGGAACGCTTGCCAGAGGATGTGCCGTTTGCACAGGTGGGTGCCAGCACTCTGGGAATGGAAAACTGGCTGGTGAGATATGGGACAAACTTATCTCCTATGTCTTGTGCACCAGAGTGACTTGAGCAGAGAGCATGTGTCGTGTTCTCAGGATTGTTTGCTTCTCACACCCTTCTCCACGGCTTTGCTTCCCAGGTTGATGCCCACAACATCGTGCCCTGCTGGGTTGCCTCCCCCAAGCAGGAGTACAGCGCCAGGACCATCCGGGGCAAGATCCATGCTCAGCTACCAGAGTTCCTCACCGAGTTTCCCCCTGTTGTTCCTCACCCACATCTGCCCTCTTGCCCAGCAGAGGTATCAGCAGGAGACACTCAAGCCCATTCATGGGCAGGTCTCGGAGTATTTCATAAGTCCTTTGTGATCGTGGGAGGGGTTGGCAGGGAATGAGGACAGTGACCTGCCTGAAGTCACACACAGATGGTGTGGAGATGAGGATGCCCTCGGGAAAGGGAGGTTCCTACCACATTCATTCAGTTCCCATATCTCTGCCATGCAGAGGGCTAGTTTAAAGGAAGAGGCTGGCACAGACCGGGGCCTTTGCTGGACTGGGGGCATAACATTCAGGGCAGCAATTGCTAAAAAGATTCTGCAGATGCACTCACTGCTTGGTTGCCACCCAGCCCATTGCTTGGGAGGCATGTTATTCCAGCTTGCAGGTAGACCACACCGTGAAGGAGGTGGAGTGGGCAACCCCTGGCACAGCTGCAGGGATGGCTGTGCTGAAGTCCTTCATTGCAGAGCGGCTGAAATCCTTCAGCACCCACAGGAATGATCCCAACAAGGCGGCTCTCAGCAACCTGTCCCCATGGCTTCACTTCGGTGAGTGTCCCAGGCTTCCCACTCTGCAGCAGGACTGAGCATTGTGGCTTGGACCAGCAGCCTGACTTGCTGCTTCCCCTTGTCCCCAGGCCAGGTTTCCACCCAGAGAGCCATCCTGGAGGTGCAGAAGCAGCGGCGCAATTACAAGGACTCGGTGGATGCATTTGTGGAGGAGGCTGTGGTGCGGCGGGAGCTGGCTGAAAACTTCTGCTACTACAATGAGAACTACGACAGCGTGCAGGGTAACATCCTGGGTCATGTGGGCCATGCTGGGTACCCAGCTGGGCACTCCAACTTGGCAGTCCCAGTTCTGCTAGGAGAAGGGCTGTGGGGGCACTAATGTCCCATCATTTGGTCTCTTCTGGAGGTAGGACAGAAGCTGATGAGTGCCCTCTTCAAGCCTGGCGCCTCCAGGGCACAGTGCCCTCAGTAGCCTGGTTCTCAGGACCCTGCAGACCAGGTTGCTTCTCATCTCTTGCTCACAGGT